TCATATAATAATAATGTAGTTGATATATTATAGATATATTGTAAACATATTTAGCAAAAACATAGGTTTCTGTAAAGAAGTATGCATGAAATGTTTACGCCATATATTCAAAGACTTAACTAGAAACAAAAGTGTTGTGATCAATTAAGGCGGGTAAGAATTTAAAAGGCAATATAATAAAGAGAAGGGAGATTGCTAATCTCCTAATAAAGTTGCTTTACCAAAAAGAATAATGAGAAGGGAGATAGCTAACTTCCTAATAAAGTAGTGCAACCAAAATTCATCTTTATATTGCTTAGCTTTTTCATTATATCAACATCAACGGAATCAAACGTGCAGAAAACTAATTGTGCAAACTTGCAGCTTACTCCAAAAACTACTAAATGTACAAATTTTACCTATACAGAAAATACTACATCCCACCAATCACAACCTTATGCAATTGACATTCAATTTTATGATTACGGAACAACTCTCATCCACCTTGTTAGAGATAATACAACAAACACATTTGTTTTGAACATATATTACGTATAAGAATTATCCATTTAGATGTATCCGTCACTCCAATTGATGTCACTGAAATTAATAATTTAATACTTGATCCAGTGAATTATTGTTTATTTAACAGCTCACTTACTGGAAAAATGGTGAATCCCATTTCAATACGACCCTTAAAACAACAATTTGTATTAGTGAGTTATTTAAATAAAATTAGTGATAATAATTATGAAGAATGGGGAACTGTTTTGAATTGGAAAGGCGAAAATTTAAGGTTTGAAGATAATTTATATTGCAAAATCTTAAATATTTTTAAGAATGAACTAACTGTTAAAATTATTATTTATTATTTAAATTACCAGTTCAATACTTCTTGAATCGTCAATTTCTAGCCTTGAGGATCATCAAATTTTAATTGAAATAAACATAAACAAAGAACTAGGATTTCTTGGAGCAGCAATCAAGAAAAACTCAAGCAGTATCGCAATCACGCAGTATTCAGTGTAATTTAATTTCTCTAATGATCTTATTTTTTTTATTTATTTTATTTTATTTAATCAATAAAATCATTGTAATAATTATAGCGATGTTAATGGAGCATTATCTGCGAGGTTTAAAAACTATATTAGAATAGGTTTATTTATCAATGCCACCTTTTTTACGTCATTGGCCACCGTTGATGAAGGTTATGCAATATTGTATGCCAAATATTCGGTCAATAGATCCGATTTTATGAGTTCACTTGGTGGATTATATGTTAGCTTTATAGACTACAATACAACAAATTCATCTTCCATTGGCAATCCTATCCTTCTTTTTCAAATAACTAAAGCTGAAATGAAAATTAATGCAGTTCCTTGTAATGCATATTTTGGATTTGGTACTATTGTGTTGCTTCCATAGACTACAACAACGAAGTGTACTATGAAGAAATTGCATTTTATTCAGCAGCAATTATAGGTTCCGGACAATTGTTCAATACTCCCAACGAAACTAGTATGCCCTGGAATGTTGTGTCTTCAACACCAGTCGGCGGATACATATTTTCTGCTGTGGTTAATACCGCTTGCTTAATTTATATCTATGACTTTGATCGTCATACAAAAAATATTCCGGTTAACTTGACGACAACTGGTATTTGTGATGCATATAGTATCTTGAAAAATAATAATACCCTTTTATTCTCTCTACGAAATATAAATGATAAAAATACATCTTGGTCTTTGCTTGCTGTTCAGTTACCTGAAACACCAAATTGTATGTTTATAATACCTATTCATAAATACTCTTTCTTATTCATAAATTCATAAATACTTATTTATTTACCATTTATTATTTAGCCTGTGAGTATAAAGATGATTTATAAATCGATGTACTAATCATAACATAAATACTTATTCATTCTTATTCATAAATTTATAAATATTTATTTATTTATTCATTATTTCATTTGCATTAATTTAGACAGTGAGTATAAAGATGATTTATAAATTTGTGGAAGTACTGAAAATCATAAACATAAATACTTATTCATAAATACACTCTCTTTCTTATTAATGAATTCATAAATAATCACTTATTACCATTCATGTATTTAGTCGGTGAGTATAAAGATGATTTATAAATTTGTAAATTACTGAAAATCATAAACATAAATATTTATTCATAAATGCACTCTCTTTCTTATCATGAATTCATAAATACTCACTTATTACCATTCATGTATTTAGTCGGTGAGTATAAAGATTATTTATAAATTTATGGAATTAAAATCATAAATACTTATTCTTGAAATACACACTTTTTCTTATTCATGAATTCATAAATACTCACTTATTTTCATTTATCATTTCATGCGCATTAATTTAGTGTGTGAGTATAAAGATGACTAATAAACTGATGGAATTAAAATCTTATTCATAAATTCATAAATACTCGCGTATTACCATTCAATATTTCATTCGCATTTAGCCAGTGAGTATAATGATGATTTATAAATCGATGGAATTACTGTAAAATCATGGCATAAATACTTAATCATAAATACTCTCTTTCTTATTTATAAATTCACAAATACTCACTTATTACCATTTAATATTTCATTCGCATTTAGATGGTGAGTATAAAGATGATTTATAAATTGATGAATTACCGTAAAATCATGGAATAAATACTTAATCATAAAATACACACATTTCTTATTCATGAATTCATAAATACTCTCTTATTCATGAATTCATAAATGCTCACTTATATTTCATTCACATTAATTTAGTCCGTGGGTACCGTGAGTATAATGGTTTATAAATTGATGGGATTATTTTAAAAATAACATGCGCATAAATAATTAATCATAAATACTTTCTTATTCATGAATTCATAAATACTCACTTATTAATTCATTCGCATTGATTTAGCCCGTTAGTATAAAGATTATTTATAAATTGATGGAATTAAATTCATAAATACACTTTCTTATTCATGAATTCATAAATACTTATTTATTTACCATTTATTACTTCATTCGCATTAATTTAGAAAGTGAGTATAAAGATGATTTAAAAATTGATTGAATTACTGTAAAATCATGCGCATAAATACGTATTCATATATACTCTTTTATTTTTATTCATAAATTCATAATACTCACTTTTGACCATTTATTATTTCATTCGCATTTAGCCCGTGAGTATAAAGATGATTTATAAATCGATGGAATTAAAATCATAAACATAAATACTTATTCATAAATACTCTTTCTTATTCATAAATTCATAAATAATTACTTATTACCATTTCAATTTATTATTCATTCGCATTTAGTCGGTGAGTATAAAGAAGATTTATAAATCGATGGAATTAAAATCATAAACACACTCTTATTCATGAATTCATAAATACTCACTTATTACTGTTGCATCTAAAGTAGCGATTTATCTAAAGTAGCCACTTTAGATATATAAAGTAGCGCCTGACTAAAATTAGG